TTTGTAGTTCAAGCTGGCCCTGAACTCACTATGTAGCCCAGGCTGGCCTCGAACTTGCAGCGATCCTCCTGTCTTAGCCTCCTGGGTGCTGGGATGACAGGTGTGTGCCACCATGCCCAGCTTCAAATTTTCTAAATTTAATTTGAGCAGTATAATGACAGCTATCCATCTAATGGTTATAGTTGGAAGCACTTTAATTTTCAGAGGTTTCCAGATCCTTTAGTTCTTGGGAGAGGACTTTATTATTTTGAAAAAACTGAACTTCGTAATTTCAAATGATATTTTTTATGTCTTCCTTCAATTAAACATAGTAATTTTTTCTCTTATGTTTTCTATTGTTTTCTCTTTTTTTTTGAGGCAGGGTCTCCCTTTGTAGTTCAGGCTGGCTCTGAACTCACTATATAGCCCAGGCTGGCCTCAAACTTGCAGCGATCCTCCTGCCTCAGCCTGCCGAGTGCTGGGATCACAGGCGTGGGCCACCAGTTTTTTACTGTATGTTTATGGTACAGAATAATTACGTTCAACTTAGGGAATTGGTACAGATCTGAAACCATTTTTACTTTCCCTTCCCCTCCTCTCACTCCTGTCTCCCATGTTCAGATCTCCTTCCCATTTCCACAGAGTCTGTTTCCTATCATCTTTTGTTCTGTTTTTATTTTGGGTTTCTCATATAAGAGAAATTATGGAATATTTAGTCTTCTGTGCCTGATTTATTTCACTGAACATTATGGTATCAAAATGCATCCATTTTCCTACAAATGACTCAAATTTATCCTGCAGTGATTTACAATGACCTACTGGATTCCCCTTCTGCAAGGGTCGCTTCTCACATCTTCCAGTACTGGCTTTCGACAGGTAGAGTTCTGTGATTAATTGGTTCCAACACCCATTAAGCCCCTCACATTCTTGACTTTGTATTTTCCCCTCCCCTCTCCCTTCTTCTCCTCTGTCTCTGTCCCTCACATAGTGAGTCAAACCTCTCCCTTCCACTTTTCTCTGGGCATAAAAATAATACCATCAACATTTATCTCATTTTACTTTACTCCTCCCTTTCCTTTTTCTTCTATTTCTCAGCCTATTCTTCATCACCACTACTCCCAAGAGTTTAAAACTTTTAAAACAAGTTTTAAATTAAGTATCGATACATGATTCCTTCTTGGGATGCTGTTATTATTGACACTCGTTCTGGCCCTGGAGGCAGTGCTAAGGACTGAACTGGGAACCTGGAGTAGATGAGAGTAGGTGCCTGCACACTACATCACACCCAAAGCCAAGGACACACCAAGGGAGAAACCCACATACTAAAAAGATGTCTACTCTGGCCGCAGAGCTTTCTGTCCCAACTGATCTACAACCTTCAACACAAGAATCATGACAAAAAAAGGCAGCAAGATTCCCAAAATTCTTAATTCCCCAAAAGCTGGTTTTACAGGCACTGAAATAGATGAATTTCCAAAGAACACAGCAAATAGCTAAAATAACTGAAGAGGTCAGAGACCAACAAGCATCTGTGTTGAAGGAATTACTAAGGTGTTCAATGAGCTTAAAAGTCTTTATGTTTCCATCCATGGTGAAGGGTAATGCTGGAGGGTATAGTACTCTAGGTTGGCAAGTATTTTCTTCTAAGGCTGAAAAAACTTCACTCCAAGCTCTCCTGGCCTTTAAGAGTTCTGTTGAGAAATCTGTTATTCTGATACATTTACCTTTGTAAGGTATTCGGCATTTTTCTCTAAGAGCTTTTAGTATTTTCTCTTCGTTCTGAATTTCTGGGATTTTGACTATGATATGGTATGGAGAAGTCTTTTACTGGTAATGTCTATTTGGGGTTCTAAATGCCTCATTTAACTGGCTATCCATTTTACTCCCTAGATTTGGAACATTTTCTGAAATTTCAGTGAATAAATTTTTTATGCCATTGAATTCTTACTCTCCTGTTCAATATAGCACTGAAAACTTTAGCCAGAATGATCAGGAAAGAGAAAAATAAAAGGGATAAGAATAGGAAAGGAAGAAGTAGAGATTCCTCAAAAAAACAAAAATTGAAATTCCATTAGACAAGACTGGGCGCATTCAGGGTGGTATGGTCGTAGACTTGAAATTCCATTAGATTGAGCTATACCTCTTTCTGGGTATATTCCCAAGAGTTAAAGACATTGTACAGTGGTACATGTACAACCATGTTTACCGCCATGCAATTCACAATGGGTAAGCTTTGGAAATTGCCTAAATGACTATAATAACTAAAATAGACTATAATGGCAAGTGAAATAAGTCAGATATACAAAATTAAATATTGCATGGTTTTTCTTATATGAGAAATCCAAAAAATAAATTAATTAAAGAGTAAAATAAAGGAGAAATTATAGGAAGCACAGAGGCGAAGTTTTTAGAAGAGAGAGCAGGGGATCAGAGGGATGGTTAGGGGATATTTATCTATCTATCTCAATTCCCTAAAATAAATGTAACTATTACATATCACAAACATAGTAGTTTTTAAAATTCCATTTGCAGAAGGTATTAGATTTATAGTGAAACTATAGATAACTGCCTTTATTATGAATAAGTATACAAAACAAATGTTAAATGGGTAATCTTTTTCATTTTAAACCTTTTTTTATTGGTGCATTTTAGATATACATAACATTCCTCATAGGGAATTTGTACCTGTGCATGATAGATCTTGCTTTTTTCCCGTTCCCCTCCCCTCAACCTCTCTTCCCCTCCTTATTTACAAAAACTGTTTCCATTTTTTCCTTCGATCCTTTCTTTCCTTTCCTCTTCCCCTCTCCCTTGTTCCCCTTCCCATTTGAACATGTGCTTCCCATTTCCCAATATCTATTAGACATTTTGGTCCTTATTTACACTTTTGGTTTCTCACACCAGAGAAATAGTATGATTTATTTCACTTAAAAGTATGTCTCAAGGTACAATCATTTAGCTAGAAATGTCTCAAGCATATCCTTCTTTATGGCAGAGTAGTACTCCAGTATATTGAAAAAACCCACATCTTCTTTACTCACTCGTCAGTTGATAGGCACTTGGGCCGTTTCCAAGCTTTAGCTATTATAAAATGTGCTGCTATAAACATGAGTGAGCATATATTGCTATGGTATGATGCTTTTTTTTCCCCAGGAAGATACCAAGAAAGGGGATAGCTGGGTCAAATGGAACCTCTAGTTTTAGTTTTTTGAAGCATCTCCACACTGATTTCCACAGTGGTTGCACCTGTCCACACTCTGACCAACAGTGAAGAGTTCCTTTTTCCCCACAGCCCCACCAATATTTGTTATTGATTGATTTCTTGATAACAGCCATTCCTTCTGAAGTGAGATGGAATCTCAGCATTGTTTTAAATGAGTAATTTAAAATCAAATGACACCAAGTAAATAATGGATGTGACCTAAACATTTGGAAAAGGATCCTTAAATGTTAATCTTTTTTTTTTTGGTACTGGGGATCGAACTCGGGACCTCGCGCTTTCAAGACAGGTGTTAATCCTACTATTAATAAAAATGTAACTTTCAATAGTAATTTTATTACTTTAAAAAAGCAATTAAAAAGTTTATATTCTATCTTTTATTTTGGTACCAGGGATCGAACTCGGGACCCTGTGCTTGTGAGGGAGGTGCCAGAACCACTGAGCCAAATCCCCAGCCCAAAAGTTTATATTCTATATTGCTACTAGACAGGGCATCAAATTAGCTTTTGAAAATTGTTTCAATTTACACTCTCACCTAATACAACAGAATTTACCACAGAAGATACCCAAGCAATATAGTGATAATTTAAATCTCAGTACAGTCCTTTACCAATCTACCCACAGGCTGATTCATCGTTCCCTGTGACAACGCATCTGACTGTTTTATACTGAAGTCATAAAACATAAAAATGCATTAAATTCTATAAGTAATTTTGTTTATTTACTTATTTCAGTACTGGAAATTTAACCAAGGACTTCTGCACTGAGCTATATCTCCAGCTCTTTTTTATTTTTCAAGACAGAGTCATTAAATTGCTAAATTGCCTGGGCTATGCTCCAACTTTCTATCTTCTTGTCTGAGCCTCCCAAGGACTGGGATTATAGGCCTGTGCTACCACACCCAGCCAATTTTCTTGTCTTTTTTTTTTTTTTTTTTGGTACTGGGGATCGAACTTGGTACCTTGCGCTTGTGAGGCAGGCGGCGGAACCACTGAGCTAAATCCCCGGCCCCATTCTTGTCTTTGATGCTTAAAAATATAAATGCTCCAAAACGTGTGTCTATAGATTTAGTTTATTTGCTTGTTATCCTATGGTCCAATGTAAGACTATTAAATAAAAATTAGAACAAAGATGTGACCTTCAGGTTATATATAGAAATTGTTTAATGAACTCTGAAATAATAACAATGGTCAACGTAGTTTTAAAATTTACTTAACAAAGGATTTTAAAAATGGACATGACGATTATTTTTCTGATTAAAATATGTAGCTTAAAGTCCTTAAACAAGTTTGAAATAGTTTATAAACCCATTAAAATTGTATTTCAATTTTATAGATATTAGTATTATCCATGTGTTGCTAGATTTTAAAGGAGAGCAATTAAGTAGAATATTTTAACAGCTAAGTCCACTTATAAATCTATTTAACTATATCAATCTTGCTTTACCACAACTCTTTCTTATGTGCTTGCTGTAGAACATTTTCTGAAGATGGGCACTCATGCTTTCCAAGGAAACTCTATAGGGTCAAGAACAGAAGGCAAAAATTGACATTAAAATGTGTTGTTTATGGCAAACCCAACAGCCCATAAAAGTATATATATCTATCAGTCTACTCTAGTAGTGAACCAACTATTTTCATGCCTCATTTAGAGTATACATGACTATCATATGTACTCATTTACCATTAAGCTCTATTCCTTGATTAATTATTATCAGTGAACTCTTAATAGATTAACAGAAATAGATCACTGGACATTATATATACAGAGAACTTCTCAGGCTTTAACAGGAAAAGTAGAGCTTGATATGGTATTTTAAACAGAAAATTGCTGGCAGCCAACTGTTAAAGCTACTTTCCTCACAGTGAAGTACCTCAGATACTTTAGTAGAAGTATACACCCATCATTTCTAGCCTACTGCTTTGCTTTGTAGCATCTGTCACTATTTTAAACTATCTTTTGGACTTCCTTTCTTTCTTTTCTCTTGTTCCTTGTGGGCAGGAAGTTATCTTTCAGCTGAGTTCTGAGCAGGCAGAAAACAGAGTCACCTTGGTGGGCAGAGCTATGTAGGGGTGGGAAATGAGAGATGGGCACAGCAGGACTTCTGGGGTGCTGGGAACCTTGCATCTCTCTGGTACACAGACCTGTGCACTCACGTACAAAGCTATGGCGCTGCCCAGCCAGTACTTCATTGTAAGTATGTCTTCTCAAACGATCGTTGGGGGAGAGTAGGTTATAAAGAGTAACCAACGTACCAAGATGGTGTCAGGGTACCAAGCATGAAGAAGGCATATAACTGATTATTTGACCCTTTGGAAACATCAAGACCATAACTACCCAAGGACTACTAAAAGGAAAATTGTGTTACTTTTTAAACATTTCCTGTTAAGTTCCCCTTCATAATTTTTATGTTCTTGTGAGGAAAGAAAAGTAAAACATGTTTAAGTTTGATTTTATGACTTCTCAACAAGCAAATGTTTAAGTTTGTAAGACTTGACTTGTACAAGTGTTGTAATTTTCCAAGTAAAAAAGTCCCTAAAGGCCACTTCCTGAATTTTCCCAGTAAATAAGGTAAGCGATTCTAAGATCTTCCACAAACATCTAGTCATCTAGATGTACATTGATCTCCACTGAGAGATGAACCATTCTGCCTGTACAGACAAGCTAGCTATTAGAGGGTGGTTGGGTACACTCTTAGGATTTCAGGGTGTCTTCCAACTTAAATCTCCATGTTCTCAGTATGGAAAAGCCTGAGATCAGATATCTATGCAAGGAAAGTGCTATTTGTCCAGTAAACCCACAAAAGCAAATGGATAATGCTGGCCATAATTTACCTTTCTGACATTTCCTTGAAAATCTGCCAAGAACCTCCCCTTCCCCCTCCCCAGTAAGACCATTTAAGTGTGTGTTAAACAACTACAGAATACTAAATAAAAAGTTTGGCCAAAACCAACCATGAAACTGCAAATGATGTTTGCTCTGTTTCAAATTTTTGCAACTTTGTAGTGTCTCACTTTTAAAGGAGCAGCTTGATTGCAAAGGAGAAATAGATAAGCAATGAAGTTATCTCCAACTTCCTAAAGGCTTATGACTTCTAAAAAGTCAATCTATCAGCATTCCACGTCACATTTAAAGAATCAAATGCCTGTGAAACAGCAAAGATGGTTGAGGACTATGGTCATTGTGGTCATGGAGTGCTGATTTATTCCCAGTAGATAAAGCTGGCATCGGGAAATCAAAATACTAAGAGTTGTTGAAGCAGAAGAATGCTGACTGTCAATAAGGCACAACAGTTGCACAAGCAGTGTTTATCAGCATTGGTTTGGCACAGGCAGTAGGTTTTGCCTTCCAGGGTTTTTGTGAATCTGAGGAAGCCATTAGCGTTGATTAACACTTAACTAGGGACTGGTAGTTACTTAAAATTGACCAAATGGAGACAGGGAAAGAAATTGGTAAGTGGAGGTACTCAGGAAGTTCTTGTGGCTATTTGTGTAGATTTATAGCTTTGCCTTTCATTTTATTTAGCTGAAGTCATGGAAACAATTTTGCATTTTGGAAAAAATTCCACTGAATATCAGAAAGTTGAATTAAGGGTTGGGGATAAGCACTTGTCTAGCATGTGTGAAGCCCTGGATTTGGTCACCCAATATCACACACACACACAAAAGTCAAATCAGAAAAAATGACAGCTATAAGCAGTAACTCTTTACCCAGCAGTGTCTGATTTTCAGCAAGTAGAACATTTTTTATTAGCTTATCAGAGAAAATGGTTAAGTTTTACAACAAAACTAAAGGAGGAGTAACATCCAGAAACAAAAGTAACAACTTGAAACATTGCTAAGATGATGCAAAGTACCCTTGAAACTGGAAACACTGGCTACTTGATTACTATATTGGTAATCCTACTCTATCCTCAACTCCCAGTTTTAGAAATCCTAATACTGTATTGCCTGGGAGACCAGAGACAATAATACAAATGATAATGTTTGCAAGGGAACATTTGAATTGTTCAGTTAGAGGAACCAACTCAATTTTTGAGAGCCCCCCCCATAATATAGTTATTATCATGCTTAACATTTGTGATTGGCAAAATAATCCAAAATCTTTTTTTTTTTTTTTTTTTTGGTACTGGGGATCTAACTTGGGACCTTGCACTTGTGAGGCAAGTGCTGGAACCACTGAGCTAAATCCCTGGCCCCTAAATAATGCAAAACTTTTAAGCCTCATTGGTTTACACTCGTAATCACTGACCATGAGGATATTGACCAAAATTAAGTAGCTTCACTTGAAAACAGATCTTGGTTCCAGTCTTCCATAATCTAATTACTTAACTTAGTGCTTCAGTGAGGGCTTTTTGGCCCTTGAGATTTTATTTAGATTTCTAAGATACTGTATAACAGAGGCTAATTGTAGTATGAATGCTAAATTCAAGAGTATGCTTAAATGACTAGGCACCTGTTTAGCAAACTGTTTACAGACCCATTAATTTTGCTCCCATTGAGAAAAGAATCGGTTCTTGATTCATCATCTGGCTTTATACTGGCTGTAAAAGAAATGGAATGATAAAATATCTTCCAAAAATGTATTCCAAAATGTCTTCCTTGTTTGACTGGTAATTAAACAGAACTCTTAGGTATTACAGATCACGTCTTTGGAATGTTTTTGTATTGGAATTTAATAAAACTTTAACATACAAAAAAAGAGAGAGAGATTACTGATGGCAGGAGCAACATGGTAGTTAAGATAATCATTAAGAAAGTCAAATGGGAGGCCCTGAGTTTAATTCTTGGTACCAAAAAAGAAAAAAGAAAAAAATCCCCCCCCCCCCAAAGCCCCTTAAAGAAAAATATAAAGCAGTCTATTTAAATTTGTGGCTAAAAGAGATGCAAAGAGGAAAGAGAAATAGGAAATAGTATTTAGCGGTGACCACCTGGAAGCGAGTTTTATGTAATATTATTAAGTCGTACTGCTTCTAAGTGTTTTCAGTGTACAGAGCCAAAATAGGGATTTAAAAAATACAAAATCATAACTTTGTATTACTTTCAATTCACACGTGAATAATACAGAATATCTAAATTCAGGTTTGATCTTCCACCTGATTTCTCATTCTTAAGACTCTGACTTCTAACAATAACATATCCATCCTCTCTATATGTTTCAAAATATTACTATTAGACAACTAAATGCAGTTTACTCTATCACCTAAAGTATAGTTAAAATGCTATATAAATGTAAATGAAATAGGACCTCATGTAGTTGTGTAACCAATTTAATGTATACATTTCATTTTAGTTTTTAAAGATTTCTTTCCTTTAAAATTTTATATTTGCACACACAAAGCATTTGCATTTCCAAAGTCAAAACTAAATATATCCAGAGACATTCACTTTCTCGTCTCCCCCCATAATCTTTTGTATTAGTTGTACACCATTTTTATTGGTACGTTTGCACCTGTTTGCAATATATGATATTTACATTGGTTTGGGGGGTTCATATACTTATCCTCCCCTTCCCCATCAGGTCTGCTTTATTTTACTCCTTTATTTATAATTGGGTTTCTCCTGAGAGAAACCACGTGATATTTAACTTTCTGTGTCTGCCGTTTCACTTAACATTATGGTCTCCAGATCTGTCCATAGTCCTGCAAAAGACTTGAAGTCAACCTTCTTTGTGGCTGAATAGAATTCCCTTGTGTACTTATACCACATTTTCTCCATCCATCCGCTGATGGGCATCAGGGGTATTTCCAGAGCTAAGACACTGCTTTCCACAGTGGTCATACTATTTATGTTCCCATCCACAAAAGGTTCCTTTTCCCCATATTCTCACCAGCATTTGTTATCTGTGTTCTTGGTTTCAGCCTTTCTGACTGTAGTAAGATGAAACTCAGCTGTTTTGATTAGCATTTCCCTTATGTCTTGTTATAGCTTGTGTTCAGATGTCCCCCTAAAGCTTCATGTGGTTACAGGTGGGGCTTTTCAGAGGTGGTTGGATCTAGAATGTGTGACTCTGGGACTGATTCATGGTGCAGTGCTAGGCTCAAGGGCGCTAGGATTAAGGTTGTGAGTACTACCCACCCTAAGTAGCCTGGATAAGATGAAAGGGGCAGGAAGATACTATTAAGGTCCCTTGTTGCTTTGCTACTTTCTGCCCCTCTGCTATGCCACTCTGCCTGGGAGCCAACCAACTATGGTCTGAAACCTCTACAAACTGCAAGCCAAATAAGCCTTTCCTCCCTCAACTTTGGACGTCGGATCTTTTGTCTCAGGAATGAGAGAAAAGTAACTAAGACATGTCTAAAAATGATGAACATCATTTCATGTACTTATCAGCCATTTGTACTTCTTTTGAGAAGTATCTATTCAACTCATTTGCCCATTTCTTGAAAAGAATGTTGGCTTTGGGGTTTGAGTTTTTGGTATATCCTAATTATCAGTCCTTTATCAGAAGAGTAGCTGGCAAAATTTCCCCCCAATTTTGTAGGTTGTTTCCTTTGCTGTGCAGCTTTTTAATTTGA